TGGCTGCTGCCAGGACTGGGGCCCCTTGGGGGCAGCACAGGTAGATCAGGGCAGGAACAGTTTCTTGAAGTCCCCCCTTGCCTGAGGGAAAGCATGGCTGAGCAGGACAGACATGGCTTTAGCACCTCTCCTGGAGAGGTGATGACAGGCTCTTCCCGGTCTGGGTTTGTTGTCCCTGAGTCCCCTGCGCTGTGTTCCCAAAGGCACAGGAGCCGCCTGCCCCATGTCCCCTGCGTGCACTGCAGCGGCTTGGGATGCTCACGGGGCTGCAAAGCCACGGGGCACCGGCACGGCTGGGGAGGGAGGCAGCAGCCCACGAGCCAGGCAGCGGCATGCTGGGGGAGCAGGACGAGCTCCCTGGCTGCAAGGTCCGGCTGCTCTCCAGAGGAGCCACACAGCATTTTTAATCGGAGCCCGGGCTCGCTAATCTCTTTAATTCGTTTGGCCAGTAGGCCATTAACCCTGCACAGGGCAGCCCAGCCACGCCGGCAGCGGCATTGCCGGCATTTCCGCAGCCGGTGAAACGCAGAGCCCAGGGCTTACACCTTGCAAGGTAAGGGACGTGGGGAGGGCTGCTGTAGGTGTCTCGTTTGCAAGAGTATTTATTTGCTTTTTTGGATCGATCAGTCTGGGCCTGTTTCGTTTCAAATGGAAAGTTTTTTGCTGCTGGTTTGTGTGCACAGACCTCCTCCTGGCAGGGGCCCTGTAAAGCAGGAGGGGGACCGCGGGGGCCAGGGCATACGCACCCCGTCCCTCTGCTTGCGGTAGGACCGGCTCTGCCCCACGTCCCCGCATCCTCAGCAAGCCCCATGCCTGCGGCCCTGCTGGGTGCCCTGCAGCACTTGGCAGCCATCTAGGTTTTCTCCCTGCCTGATCTCTGAGATGCAGTGCCCGCTGTGCAGAAGTGAGCAGCACATCGTGGAGCAGTGGAGGAGTGTGGCCGCAGCAGGTCCTCTCCTTCACTTCCCTCCAGCTGGGCTGTCCTGTGCCCCTCAGGGCAGGATTGCACCAGCGGCTCCACTCTCCCTTTGGCATCTCTAGCCTGTGTCACTGCTGCAGAGAGGTGGGAAACACGGACCTTAGAGACCTGAGAAAACACCCAGGGGACAAAAGGAACCCAAAGAGATTGTCCAGCTGATGGTGCCAACACTGCTGTAATTAGAAAAAGAAATGACTAAAGAACCATTATCAAACCGTACACAAAGCGGGCTGGGAAATTGTCCAGGGGTGAGTGTTACAGGCGATGGTGAACTGCAACAGTGAAGCCTGAGCTCTGAGTCAGGCTGGACGGGAGCTCCCATGGCTGGGGAGCGGGACAAGCGCCGCAGTGTCACTCGGCCTGTCCTCTCGTGCTTTTTTGGAAATGAAATGCAGAGCAGGAGGAGTTAGGGAGGTGGGGACATGCTGCTGCTCGCTGCTCTATGTGCTGCCCGCAGCTGTGGCAGGGGCACTTGATGTGGGACAGCCACTGGCCCAGGGAATCTGGGGTGTCTGTGGGACTCCGTCCCTGCCCGGTGGCGGGGCTGGATGGGGCGTCTCAAAGACACATGCCATCAGAGAGAGAGAGAGAGAGCCCCTTCTTCCCACTCCCGCTGTGCGCCACCCCCCGCCCTTGATGTGGCTTGGGCTGGCTCACCTTGTGTCTGCTTTAACTGAACAGGAGATTTTCCTCTTTTCTTTTTCAGTCTGCAGAATTCTTCGAAATGCTGGAAAAAATGCAGGTGAGCAGCAGCAGCGTGCGTGCCAGTAACGCAAGACATTCTCTGCCCAGCAGAGGCTGCAAAGACAGAGATCCCACAGCAGCTTGTACATTTAACGTGCTGGGAGGCCTTGTATGATCATAACAAGTTTTGAATTATTGCTGACATCCCCAGCGCTGTGTGAGCCCTGCTGAGGGGGGGCACAGCAGGCGCTTCCCAGCTCAAACCATGCAGAAGAGAGCTGCACAGAAACACCCCAGCGCGCGGGGGGAGAGCAGTGGCTTCGGCAGCATCTTCCTCCAAGGTTATTCCACATCGCCCCGAGCAGTTTTGCAAAAGGATGTTTAGGGGCACACGCTGTGAGACGTGGTCCCATTGCTTCCTGGTAAAGTCAGCACGCCGCTGCCTGTCTTTGCAAATGGCAGGCTCTGGTACAGAGGATGGCTGTGTCAAGCACTGTCTTAGTACCCCTTGGGTCAGGGCAAGGCATTTTCTTGTCCCACACTAAAACATATCAGGATCTGCCCAAGGAGGAGGGTTGAGGGACCCAGGTGTCCCCTGGCATGTGCCTTGTCGCTGCGGGAGGAGCACGGGCAGGTGGTGCTCACCCCTGATGCCGGGGGCGCGGTGCTACCCCAGCATGGTGCTCCCCCAGCGCGGCACAGGCAAGTGTGAGCAGGGTTTGCCGTCCCCAGGCTCCTGCCTGGGACAGACACTGTGAGACAGCCGGGGCCGTCGACCTGCCACACGTCGGGGCTGTTGTCCCTGCTCCGCAGGAAGGCAGTGCAGGGATTTCCTTTAGGAGCCCATCCCGGAGAAATTAAGATGAAGCTGGAGTGGGGATATGGAGCATTTTGTGTTTGGTGCTGTACCAGCACCTGGGAAACGATAGTCCCTGCCTCACATTTAGACATTTTCAGTGCGGTGTCGCTGTGTCCCAGGTCTTGTCCTACCACATCGCTGTCACCCATTTTTGCTCTGTTACAACGGGGTCTGTCCTGGCATGCCGACAGCTCTGCCCGGCTCATCCTGGACAGAAACCCCCTCCTTTCATGCCACTCATGTCAGAGTGATTTCCGTGTAGCAAAATACCCTTGTGGTTTCGTCTGTGTTGTTGAACACATCTTAATTATTCAATCTATTCATTTTGTTCCAAACAGGCACCAAAACTTGAAGAACAGAGGACTGGAAGCCAAAAACATAAGGTTGCTTGACTTTTGTTTCTTGTGTGGATCTCTTCAAGTGCCCCCCTTATCTCAGGGCTTTAATGTGTATTGTCAAAGACAGTCACTCAAAGGACTGAAAAGGATTTAAATGTTATCTAAAAACAAGGCACTGATTGAATTGCAAAGATGAGAGAGTGGTGCCTGTAAATCCCTAATCCAGCTTTATGTCCAAACCTGTGTATTTCAGCGGCGAACTGTGTAAGGTGGTTGGGTTCTGCTGTAGAGCTGAGAAGCTTACACCAGTAGTGGAGACCCCTTTGGAAAAGGACTTAGCCGGCTGCAGTGCTTTCCCACAGACCCAGAGCAGGGAGGGGTTTCCGCGCCATGTCCCGGGGACTCAGCTGGGCTGCCATGGTGCCGGCGTGGTGCTGGTCCACCAGCCGCTGGCAGCACGGTGGCACCGCTCCTGGGGCTTGCGCCCTCCTCTGCGCACGGCGGCCTGGCCCGACGTGAGCATCGCTCTCTGTTACCGCCTGGCACTCGGTGCAGGGTGTGAGGAGGGGAGGGACCAGTGCAGCAGGCGGCTGGAAGCGCTCCCCGGGTTGGACGTGCAAGGTTGTGTTCTTAAGGGGTGGCTGGTGGGGAACAGATGGTCATACCTGGTGTTTTGATTCGTTTTTTCCAGGAAGACTACATCCCATACCCCAGCATCGATGAGGTGGGTGCTCTGGACCACCCTGAATGCCTTCAGGCGAATGCCTTTCCAAAATTGCCGGTAACAGGGGAATTGGCAGAGAGCCTGTTTCTGAGAGGAGCTGCACGAAGCACGTTCCCCCTCCCCACCTTTGTGGCTGCTGCTTTTCCTCGGTAGCACGTGCCCTCTTCTAGGAGAGAGACAAGAGGTTTTAGAGAGGGGCTGAGTTTGTCC